GTCGAGACGGACGAGGCTCAGGCCTACGCCGATGAGAATGGATTGCTTTTCATGGAGACGTCGGCGAAGACAGCTATGAATGTAAACGACATATTTCTGGCGATCGCCAAAAAGTTACCCAAAACCGATCAAAGCGCCGGCAGTGGCGGCTCAGGTCAAGGCCGCAGAGGTGTAGACTTGAGTGAAAACCCGCAACAATCGGGCGGTTGTTGTGGAAAATGAGATATTATTTAATTAACGTATCGATTATTAATTTGATATAATATTTGAAATATATATAAATATTATATATAAAAAACAAAACATAAAAAACAGTTTATTTTAAATCAATTCTTTATTTCTCCCGAAAAACTATAAACGAAACAACAAAACAAAATCCAATTTCATCTCAAGTCTTTGAAATAGCTTTGAAATAATATATTTTGTAAATAATTTTAAAACAAATGATTAATTGATTTGTGTTTTATATATAATTAATAATGATTTACACTAATTAATGAAAATGACACCACATTTTAGTTTTAAATATATATAATATAAGATATGTATAACTTTTGCGTACGATTTCTTGTGCTTATTGTTCGCAGAGTTGTTCATCAAAAATAACAACCGATTCAATGAGATGTCAATTATAATAGCGTTGAACTGATTTTTTGCACTAAAGCGACGATTAAGTGAATAATAATAATAATAAGTTATATTAATGTATATTATATTAATTACATTTACTATTAATTGTAATTCAATGAGATGTCAATTATAATAGCGTTGAACTGATTTTTTGCACTAAAGCGACGATTAAGTGAATAATAATAATAATAAGTTATATTAATGTATATTATATTAATTACATTTACTATTAATTGTAATTTCTGTGCTATTGTTTACCACCGGTTAATAGAGACCATCCTTTTTAATCATTACTCTCTTCTCTATCTCTCTCTTACTTTCTATTACTGTTTATTGTATTTTCAAATATTTGTACTGAATATTGATTTTAAACATAATTTGTGAAAATAATGATTACAAAAAACAAAATGTAAGTTAATTTATCGAAGATTATATAATACAATAGTTTTAGAAACAAAAAAGTTGATTAGTTTTGTTTGTTTCTCTTTAAAAATGCTTTAAATAATTGATTGATTTGATGGCAAAAGTTGTACGAATTTTGTAAGAAATGTTTTGTTTAAATTGCAATTTATTTTATAACTGTTTATAATAATTATATTGAAAATTGTGATTGTTTTACCCCTCACTCTCTCCCCCGCTCTCTGTCTCTTCATTCCTCGCAATTATCGCTAAGATTGCAAAAAAAAACAATTGTTTAGTTCAATAGACAATACAATTATTATTATTATTATAATTACTTAAAACAATAATTTAAAATAGATTCTTATTTTTTATTCAAATAAAATCTTGTTTTTATTTATTTATTTTCTAAACGTAAACATAGTTTGAAACTAAATAATTGACAAAAAAGTTTAGTCTAACGGTAAATGCTTTACAAAAAATACAGATTTTAAACATTTATGGTATAAATTTAAATAAAAAACAAATTGTGCTCAAAAAATTACTATCATATTCCAGAAAGTTTCCTAGATCAATTTAATAAATTAATAATAATCAATATAATTAAATAAACCCTCGATTTTATGATAAAATACTTGAGAATATTTGTTGTCTACTATTTATGTGTAAATATGAGAATCGAAACAACATTTGGGATTAAATTTTAATTAACGCATAATATTTGGACACAGAATCGGATTTAAAGTTCATTTTTACGATCATTTTGTACAGAATTTGTGGTAAAACTTAACAAAATATTCAATTTTCCTTTAATTTCTTTGCGTTTAATATCAGTTAACTTTTGAGAAACTATTCCCTCGAGTCTTGAGGTCTCGGTGGCGATGAATTGATCCCCTTTTTCGATCACTTTAGCCATGAATTGTATGTAAATGTCGGCCCATTTCTTGCGCTCGCCATCACTCAACTTATTCATGAGTCGTTGCGCCGCATCCAAGACATCACGTCTTTGTCGATCACTCGCCTTCTCAGCCATAAAACGTTGGGCCAAATCATCCAACTCTTCTAAACACATCTCTAATGGTATTCTTATACCGGAATGTCTTCGTATGAATCGTATAATTGGATCCGATTTGAACTCATCGTCGTAATGGACGGCTTCGTCGGTCACGCCGTTTACAAACAGTTTAATCACCGGTAAGTCATCTCTGGTGATGGAGTACTTGGCGGCCAAATCCATGCCCTCCTTATCGCCGAACTCATGGACACCGACTTCGGCTATCAGTAAATTGGGGGCCGTTTTGGCCAATTGTGACACTTTCTCAAACTCTTGGTGTTTCTCTCCGTATGGATACTGAATGTCAAACTTGACTAACGATGCCTTGAATTTGGTCACAACCTGTGGTCACAAACAAATCAATTAACAATTTAGTAATGGGTAAAACTCTTTGGCAAACCTTATCAAAAGTGAGTGAATCCAAAACAACTGATCCGCTTAACGCCCGCGAAGGCGGTGCCAAATGTGACACTACGGCCAACACCAGTGACCAACGAATGGGTGACAATTGTCTCATCTAATTGAACCGAAGCCTATGTTTTGACCATTTTATATATTTTGTGAACAAATCACTGAAACACAAGTGAAAAATAAAAAAGTTGTCAAAACTTGAAATTCAAACTCACATTCAGAGAGATGTGGAGAGAGGAGTGGATGTGTTGTGGAAGTGGTGTACAGATGGCTGTATAGTGAGTGGAGTACATGTATGGCATGTATGGGTAGTGCTGTTCAGTACTACTGCTCTGTTTGTATGACTGTATGATTGACTGACTGTTGGATCAAAAATGGATGTCTAGTAATGACAATACAAACCACACGAAAGACACTATTATTATTGTGATTGCATTTCCCGAACCACTCATCCGTTGACCACATTCTTGCCATTCAAACACACTATCATTGACTCTATGCCCGAGTGCTGACCGCAAACACACCAATCGGTGACCAACTCGAGTGATAATCGCCACAAACACCACTCCCGATGACTGTTTACTAGTGAGGATCAACGCGACAACTGATCCGTGTCTTTGATTTGGTCTCTCATTTTGTGGCCACAAATGTATGGCTTAAGTGTCTGTCTTTCACACCAAACATATTAAATCAAAAACGATTCATACGATTAACGATTGGTTTTTGAAATGATAGACAACTCTTGTAATCAAGAAAATCATGAATTTGTGAGTATTTTTAGTTTTAATTTCATTTCATTTTAAATGCCATTTAATGTGTGTTTTTTTTATCGCCTAAAGAAATATCATATGATTTGTTGTTTAAATTTTTTGTGTTATTTATAATCACAATCGCTATTGAATTGGTATTTATTAAAAGTAATAGCAAATGGTTTTTCCCCTAAAATGTAAATATCGTAACAATTTATTCATTCATTTCGCAAATGATTACTTTTCCACTCGTTTTCCTCTTTGTTTTCTTCTTTTATTAATAATTTATAAATTATTTTTTATATTAATATATCGTTTCGTTATAACTGTGTGTTTGGGTTATTATTAAAAGTTTTGCAATAATTAGGTATTGATTTTTATGACCATTTAATACAGTTATACACTATTTTGTTGTGTATTTCTTCAGTGCAATTAACGGTGGGTTTTATAAAACAAACATTTTTTAATTATTGTTTTAATGATTTGGTGTTGAATTCAAGACCCAATTATACCGTATATTACGGTTGATATGATTGGTTACAATTGATTGTTATAACAGTTAATTGATTTATGAATATATTAGATAATAATTGGAGAGAGAGAGAGAGAGAGAGAGAGTACTCAGAACTTATATTTTATTTATAATATTAAAAATTTATTGCTTTTTTGCTTCAAATTAATGAATATTGCGATCAATTAATAATTAAATAACATTTAATTGTTTGCCATTTGATTGAAATATAAAAACTTTAGTTTTTGATAATATTTGTGTTATACGTAAAGAAATGCATGAATTGTTGTATTTTGAGTGAAAAATCGCATAAAAATCATAAATAAATGAAGAAATTTGTGTCACATTTATGTGAATCGAGAGAAAAATCCTTGAATTTTGTGAGTTGTCGTCAAAATTGAATTGAGTTTAGCATTAAGTCTCAACATTTCATGAGTTTTTCAATCATTATTAAAAGTGAATGAGATTTACAGTACTGTTTAGATATGGTAGTCATCCTCAATGTATGTTAGCTTTAAAACAAATGTTTGCCTTTAAATCAATTCATTGCTTGTATTTTGTTATCTGATTTGAGGACTAATTGGATTAGTTGTGTGTCTGTGTGTTGTATGATTTGATGCCCACTTAACCCCTCATAACTGGTCCCATGAATGTGTGGTTCAATATATTATCTCATTATTGAAAACTAATCGTAGATTTTATGTCAAAAGACTCCCTAATGTTTGAGTCAAACGTTACAAATTGTTTATCACTTTTAGTCCTATTCTCTCACTCTTTACACATGTTTTTCAGTCTTTTTATACACTTATATGACCTCTATTTTAGTCGACAATCAATTTGATACCATTCGTAGAAATTTTGTATTCATTTTATTATTTATCTATTAGTTTAGCGTTTCATTCAATAGTTAAATGTGTTTTGAATTATAGAGAAAAACCAATTTTAATGTGAATTAAAAAAGTAAATATTTTCTGTTGTATTAATTTTGTTAATATTAAACAATAATTTGTATTTAAATGTCTTGTCATTGATTTATAGGGCAAAAGTTGTGCCACCGATGAGACCCGAGACTTGTCCGAAGAGCAACTGAAGGATGTGTTGGATCAGTTGACTGATCACACGGTGCCCGACAGAGAGAAGTGTCCATTAGTTCAACGATTGAATGCTGAAAATGCATTTAAAGAAGAGAAGTCGGAGAAACTATTGACGCGTTTCATCCAGAGATCGACCGCCTCTTCTTCGGCGCCCAACCCTTCGCGCAATCATCGAAAACATCGTTTACAGAGAAGCAGTTCAAAGGATGCCGAGAAGAGTAACGGCGCCGCAGCCGTAGGAAAGGCCGTTCACTCGTCTCAATCGCTGCAAGACTTGATGAGTGCCAGTAGTTTCCACACAGAGTCCGACTTCAAGCCATCATTAATGCGGTCAATCGGTGCCAATCATAACAGGAGCGGCGCCGGCAAACTGGTCCAAAGCCGCCATAACTCCATCACATCTCAGTTTTATAACAATAATAATAACAGTAATAATAATTCAAATAAAGAAGATATGAGTGAAGTGTCATCAGTGGCCGACACGAGAACTAATAGTCAGACACCGATACCGAACTCATTGAAAGGCGCCCGCAATAAAAGCCTTAATAAAGGGCATACCTCTCAACAGATGACCACTACTTCATCGACGGGCGCCACAGCCGTGACCGCAGAGGCGGCCGGCGATGAGTCGGGTGTCTGTGAGCCGCCAACCAATTCTAGTCGTACTTTTCACGAGTGTTTTGCCACTCAATCTGTTGTTAACCATAATATGGATTCATGTGATAAAAACTGTACCCCACTCTGCAATAGGTGTGCGCCTGTATGTGAACAACAGCCCCAATACATCGAAATGAGAGATTTGAGACAAAAGGCCCAAATTGTTGAGTACACGAGCGACTCGACGGGCTATAACAGTCCTGTCGACACGTTTATGAACTTAGGTCTCAAAGCCGTCAACACGAGGGACGATATCAAGACAGGTGTCGCCGAACGAGTGGTAAACCATAACCATAGCTGTGATTATGAAGCGAAAGACGGTATGAATTGTTGCGCGTCTGACGAGAGCAGCAAATTGAATCAATTTCAAGGTTTGTATAGAAATATGAGTCAAAACAGAAATAAAACAGTGATTTGCTGTGATGTTAGATGTTGTATATTAACTGCTCGTTTGTATTTTGAATCCTATACTAACACTACATAACATTTAACACCCGATCCATATTGTTGTTAGGCATAGATGCGGTCAAACCATACGATTCGCTTACAAACCAAGACTCAGGTATTTATTGCTATGAATATAATTGTAACTCATGTGTAGTGTTAGTGTAACTCAAACGACACCTCTTGTTATGCAATTGATTGATACTTAGGTCAAATTTTTTGGCTTTTAGATCTGTCTCAAGCCAATCATAATAATAATAGTAACCAAACCTACTCCTCCATCACCAGCAAAGACCCCACAAACAGGTATTTATCATTTCATTCACTCCTTTATATAGTAATCTCTGTTTCAAACCTTCATTATTAACACCCATTTTCTATCCCCAAAACCAAACACTCGTTTTTTGTGTCAGAAATTCAATTAATTTCAAGAAAAAGAAAACTAAAGAATTGCCGACAAAGTTGGCCGAAGAGATCGAGGGTTATATCGGTTACATAGAAGATGTGGACGCTTTGGAAGCGCTGATCAACTCTTCGGGCAACGAGACAGTCAAGTCATCTGTGAGTGAAGTGAACGCAAACACTAATGTAAAGGACAATACGAAGAAGAAAAGCCTTCAAATGATGGCAAACAGTGTTTCCAAACGAAAGAACGGCTCCACAAATGTGACCGCAAATCAGTCCCAAAACAATAAGAGTAGTGTTTTGCCAAACATTCCTCTCTCGACTTCTTCGTCGTCCTTCAGCAGCGATGAAGCGAATGGTGTTAACAAACACTCATTCTTTGCTCAAAGAACTGATTCTCTAACACACGGAACCACTAGTCCTCTCAACTCCAGCACCGAATCTAAAGGCAAAACAGCGTTGAATTCCAACGACTTGGAAGACGAAGAGGTAGAGGAGGAGAAACTATCGATGACAACATTGAATTCGTCGTCATTCATGATGGGCTCCGGCATTAGCGCTGACCTGTTGTGCACGGCTTCCGACTCAGAGATGGCGGACCGCGAGAAGGGTTTCGTCACACCTAAGAGTAAACATTTCAAACGACGCAAAGGTCTTCAGCGACGGATTGATAACCAGATGATGAATAAGTCTCAGTCAATGCAATCGTCGACGTCGACCACTCCGTCGTCGTCTACTGTTTCGGGAGTCGGACAGAGAGGGTATGAAAGCGAACGCGAATATCAATACATGGATGACTATCGGCGCCGTCAGAACAGTAGCTCTGTGTGCAGTCGTCGCAAGTCGTTGTCATCAGTGCCTCATTCCGAACACAACTCGGCCTACAATTCGGACGGAGAGCTGTCCTCCCATTCGATGCCTATTCGTAACGAATCGCTGAACACAGAGACCGGCAATTCTGACACACGAACCACCGCTTCGTCGATATCATCGACACCGAAGGCCTCGTACGCCGACATCGCTAAGACTCCCAACTTTGGCCTCTCGTCGATTGGTATTCATAAAAGATCTTCTATGGACGCGATGTTTGCCACAAATTCAGTGAATAGTCCGCTATCAGTGCAATACCAAGACTTCCCCCAACTAGACCTCCCGCTCCCACCAGTGGTCGACGTCTCGACCCCTTCCTCGCCGAATAACTCCAAAATGATTGAAGCGTTGGTTTCGCCGCCACAGCCCAAGAGTACGGCCGAAAGACGGACCAGTGATTCATGCAGTGCTCCCACATCTATGACCAATACTCCCGTTCCTCACATTGAGCCACAAAATGAGTGCCTTTTTAGTGAAACAGTGAAGAACACAGACAATGAAGTGACAACTATTGAACAGACAGACGGGTCGACAGTTCCCGCTGTCATAATGTGTGACTATTCCGAATCCGTGCCATTGAGTGATATCGGATCCGTTACTTTCGGCTTCTTTGATGACTATTTAGGTGCCAATTCTGAGCAGAACTCTACTGAACCCCAAACCCCACAGAATCCACAGAACGATACTCTACTTAATGAGACACCAAATGCTTCAGAAATAAAGGTATGATTTGTTTTGTTATAAAATTTACATTTTATATGAAATGTTTGAATCGATAGGCGAAGAGTCCGATTAAAACTAGTCCCGAAGCGACCGGTCGTGCGATTAGCCCTAAACTAAGCCGCGTTGAACTCATGTATATCGATGTCGACAAAAAGAGTTTCAATTATGAACACATTATTGGTTTTATTAAAAAGGGTTAGTATTCTCTCTCTCTCTCTCTCTCTCTCTCTCTCTCTCTCTCTCTCTCTCTCTCTTGAATATTGACAAAATTTAATTATAAATTACATTTTTTCATTGATAGCATGGGATAACGCAAAAAGTGATTACAAATACCGGAGCTATGAAACGAGTCAAATAGTAAAATAAGCATTTTGTGCCACTTTTTTCACTTAAACGCATTGGAGTCGTGTTTTTCGCGTCTTTTAATTTTACATTTATTTTGTAAATCAATCCTTAATTGAGAGAAACGTTTTGATAACTAAAAAAATATTATATAAACTGTTTTATCATTGATATCATCCCAAGAAAAGCAAATTATCGTTTTTCTAAAACAAAAATCTCATCCATTTGTCAACCAAAACAACTCATTGAAAACACAAACACAATACAGACCTGCGATTCACTTATTTCTGTCTCCATTTTTCTTAATTAAGTTGTGAATCAAAGGATTGGATTTTTTAAACAAAAAATACTGACAACTAATTGAAAACTTACACTTAAGTGACCTTTATTTTAGTGCGAAAATCGATTACATCTATCACTTAAACACAACACCGAAACCAATGAATGAGTTTTTATTTTCATTGTCTTTCAGTTTTGTTTGGTTTTATTAATTGGTTTCGCTATTCATACAAATTATTACTATTATATAATATATAAATATATTTTTCGTTGATATGTCCGCTCGGTATTCGAGTCGATTCACTCATCGATCTATCTATGAATATATAGTTATATACTATTTATCGACAAAACAAATGTCTTGTTTTGCCACACATTTTGTGGTGAATAGAGATTTAAATGAACTGAATATCCAAAACGGGAAAATGTGTTTTCTCTATGAAATCATAATATAATTGACTTTCTTTTTGTAAAAGTAATATTAAACGTGTAAACGATTTCAGTAATAATAATAATAAGTTATAATACAGACAGTGATGTCTATATCATCGCCACTGAAGACTCATTTTAGAAGACAGTTATTGATTGAATAAAACAATTATTTTTGTTAATTTTGACGTTTATATTGAATTGTTTTAACTTATTGTATGTGAAGAGCGAATGAAAGCAAATTATTTGGTCGTAAAGAGAAGTAGAAGACTGAAGAGGAATAGAAGAACTAAAATTATTATAAAAAGCGAGAGAATTACAGAAGAATCAAGAATTAATGGATTGTTTATTATTATTATTATTCAAAAATTAAAATTTTTTCTATAAATTTAAGTTTTATTATTGAAGATGAAAATAATTTTCACTTTAATTTCTATATTTTTGTTGTTTTATTATATAATTTCGAAATAAATTTTCTAAAAAGTATTGTTTTTATAATAATTGAAATGAAAAAATAGTAGAATTAATAAGCGATTCATTTATTATATAAATATATAACTAAATAAGGTTTTGTTTGTTTGTTTTTTCCGTCAAATTAAATCCATGTTTTATTTAAAGAGAGAAATATATGAAAAAACTAATATTATTATGATTTCGAGAAGTTTTATAAATGTACTGAAAGTTATAAAACAAGACATTATATGACAAGAAATTGTAGACAAAATATGATCTTTTGAACAATAAATGCGATTAAATGTCTGTTTCTTTTCATTGGATTTTCTTATTGTATAACAAATTGACTGCAAATTAAGTGATTTTTTAAATGAAAAGATTGACTAAAACTTGTATTGTATAGAATTGAAGGACAAATCATCACTTGCCACAATTGGTACACTTGTGAAGCCATTCGTTCACTTCATGGACTGTTTTATTGTCAATTATAGCCATTTGGACATCACTTCAGACAATCAATTGATTGTCAAAGTCATAAAAATGATTAAAACTTTGAATTGTATTGAATTCTTGGTTTTAATAGTAAATTGTGTTGAATTTGGCGCTCAATGTATGCGTTATTTATTGAAGAGTTGAATGAAATGCAAACCAAAAGCACAACAAAACACAAAACAATCCAATCGTTTGACTCAATGAATGAGTGAATTGAGTCTTAAGGTGTGATCGCATCCAAGAAGTGACCAAACGATGAATAAATACAACCGAATCAACGACTTGTTGTCCGCCGACGGCAACAATGGGTCGCAAAGCAATGGTCACGTCGAGAGACAACCGCAACAGTCATCGCAACCACAACAACAACAGCAACGCCTCCATCAGAGTCTTCACAACCGAATCCAACGACGATATGAAGCCGACGGCTCCGAAGAGGACGAGATTCAGAGACACAATCACATCATGTCTTCAGCGCAGCCCTCGTCGTCGTCGCAGCCGATCATTGGATCCGCGTTTGCCGGACAGCCGTCGGCGCCGAGGAATGGCAGCGGCGAAGAGATGGCCAACTCTTTGCTGTCAAACGTGTCCAACATATCCAATATCGACGCCAATAGTCTCTACAGTAAACTCAAAGAACTACAAGAAGCGGAACAACGGCTCAAACAAGTGGAAGACCTGATGAAGAGTATCGAAAAGATGGAGAATAATATCAAAGAAGTGAAAAGGGATTCAATTGTAAACAACGAGTCCTCACAACGAGTGGTCAAGTCTTCAAATAACGACATTCAGACCAAATTCCACACCAGAAGCCATAATATGACCAAATCGTCGACAATTGGCAAGAGTTTGGTCTCTCATTCAACGCAAACGCAGCCAAAACTATTGCCACCAAATCATCACTCGATGGCCAATAATCACATCTCCGGCACTCATTCACAGCACCAGAAGAATGTAATTCCACGCAATATCGATGACATCAATCATTTGGATATGAATGTTAACACCAATGCGGTTATGAACGCCATTCCTCCACAACCACCACATGTGATGCCTTCACATACTATGGATTTTTGTGATAATAATTTGGGTTATAATACAGATGTAGACGAAAGTGAGTCCAATAGCGAAGAGTCATTCAATCTAATGAATGGTAATCTGATTCGATCGATGAGATCACAGTTTGATTCAATGCGGTCTCAGTTTGAGACTATGTTACCCACTCTCGAGAGCCAGACCTATACTAATGTCAATACAGACGCAAACATGACATCAAATATGAATATAAACCACAATAATAGTCAACAGAACAGCACTAATAATAATAATATGAATATTAATGGAAACAATAATTGTGTAAACAATCAATTTTTCCATTTAATGCTTTTGCAAAACTATCAGATCCTTCAACAGCAACAGATGCTTATCATATGGCTTCAGAACCAACAAAACCAATGCCAAACACCACTACACGGGCCGCCGCCTCCCCCTCAACACCACTCTCAGCCAATACCCCAACCGTTACCCCAACGCCATCACCAGAACCACACGTCTCACCACTATATGAACAATAGCCGCAATCCGACCAATCATTCATTGATTGGTCAGAATTCGGTTCATTACCAGAACTCTGGCATGAATTCAATGCGAAACAACACATCAAATGTCCACAATATGACTGCACTGAACAATCAGGTGGTGCCCGGAGTTCGGGCCAACAACTACTGGGATAACTTCAAGAGCTATTCCCGACAAAACAAATTGAGCGCCAATTCCGGTGCCAATAGTAAGACCAATGAGAATCTGACCCTCACTCACAACCAGACGGTTTCGCCGCCGCTTATGACTGCGAGTGATCACCAAATGGTTCACCAAAACACCAATCAATCGCACGATACCGGCGGAGGAGCGAAGGGATTGTCTCCCAACTCACGCCACGCGTACCACAAGGCGGCCAACGCTAGTCACGTGCCATCACATGTTCAGTGCGCAGAACACGCGGAGAAACAACAAAATTTACCACAATTTAACGCCGACTTAATGGCCAACAAAACGCAAACCAATTCTGATTCAAACAATTTTGCGGCCCTTTTCTCGATTCTGGAGAAACTGATCGAAAGCGACGATAAGTTCGCTTCAGTGGTGAAGACACAGAGGAAGAAATCGACAAATTTAGTGATCACTGCCGACAAAGACGACGAACTAAGCGGCGGAGCTGTCGGAGGGGTCGGTGTTGTGGCCGGCGTTGCGAATGTCAACAATCAATTGCCGACCGATGAGAGCGATAGTAGTAGTGGTGGTAAATGTCAGCCGCAACCGTCGACTCCATCGTCTTCGCGATCCCAAAACATAGCGATTCCTTTACACATCCCTGCGAGCAGTGGTGCCATTAGGAAGAAGCCCAGAAACCAAGAGATTCTGGAACTCTCGTCCAAAGCTGATAATAGCGAACAGTTTGGCCATCCATTGATCAGCGGATCGGAATTGATTCGCCCACTAATGGCAGCTGAGGGCCGCTCTTCTGAGATATCGGTTAAAAATACAGCGGCTGTCACTCCAAAGACACCGATTCTGTCAACACGTCCGCCAACAACGGGTTGGCCTTACGATCGCAACAGTGATAGCAACTCGTCATCCGATGACCAGTTGGCCGAAGCCGATCAGACGGCCTCTGAATTGATAGTTACCGAAACGGAAAGCATTCATTCAAATGGAAACACTATTAACTCCAATATTAACGGCAATTCTATTACAACTACCACTCAATCAAATCCAGTGAACGTTCAGATCGTGGACACGACTCAAAGGTCTTTAGTCGAAGAGAACGAAGTGATCGCTAATGAAATAGTGGCTGAGGATGAAGACGAAGACAGCATTCTGGCCAATGATCTAAATGAGGGCGCAATCCGATTGAGTGGTGACGGAGAGCAGGGACTTTAGTATGGGTTCAAAACCCTTTCACAATAATTATATAATCTCTTATTGTTTACACTTTTAATTATTATTATTATCTAAATTTGGTTTTAGTTTCTAATGAAATGTTTTTTAATTGATTATTTTCTTATAGTTTGTCAAGATTTTTGTTCATTTCTATTTGCGTTTAGTTCCAATAACTTATAAATTTGTGTAAAACTTCATTGATTTTATAAATCTTTTATTAATTCAATTTTTTCCAATTCAATGATTATTTAAAGACATTTAAAAATAAGCAATTAATTTGTCATCACTTTTGAGAACTACTAAATTTAATTAAATACTATCTATTGATTACTATTTCTAAAATATTTGAATGAAATTTAATAAATAAAATAAATGTTAAATTATAACTGAATTTAATTTCACTTATTATTGTTGTAGTAAATCATGAAAAGGGGGTTAAAAACAATGTAACAAATGGTGCATTCGTTACAACAGATTCTGTACAAGAATTGGCGCACAAAACCCCTTACCTTAACATTAATGCCAACACAACTGATGTACTGTTTGTGCCCCTAATGTCTCAAACATCACATTTGGCACAACTTATGTATTAGTGCTGTCAATACGTCTACTCTATAACACATTTAGACAATCAATTGATTCGCAAGTGATTCACAAGAAATGTATAAATTCTTATAAATTGTATTCATATTGAGAGGGCTTTCGTAATTGTGTGTTACTGTATATATGAATGGCCCCCACTTTGTAACGTACTTTACGAGCAGTCGTTTGTGACGTTTGTTGCAAAGAAAGGATCTGAGAGTTAATGAGACAAATGGCCGACCGATTGATCGCACAACTGATCCCATATATCGGCCATCGATTCGCTCGCTTTCAACGCCTAAAAGCCGTCAACACTTGATCCGTATCGACGCCGCCGAAGACTAGCACACAATGGCCGCCATTGAGTACGACCTCAACGTTTCCGGTGGTCTAATGCCAGTTAGTTCTCACTCTTCGCTCTCTTAACCATTCATTTAACCATTGATTGTCTCCTTCGCCCCAAATGTGCAGCAAATCAACGCATTGACTGCTCCGCCGACCAGTGATGAGCCGAATCGACGCCGAAAACTGAAGAACAAGTCGATTGCGAGACAACAACAGACCACACAATCATTGGGCGCCGATTCGGCCACTAATGGCGCCAATTGTGGCACAAATCGAGCCATTCTTTCCCGACAGACAAAGACTGGCAAAACACCGAATCACGAGTACTGCGACTCTTGTCGCGAGGGCGGAGACCTCTTGTGCTGCGATCGCTGTCCAAACGCTTTCCATCTGCAGTGCCAGTCAGTTGTCATCTCATTGTTTATCTGATCCGTCACTTAATTGGTGTTATTTTTAATCCATTTAGTGATCCGCCGCTCGACGAGGAGGACGTGCCTCAGGGCGAGTGGTTGTGCCGGAAGTGTAAACAACTGGTGAAAGAAGTGGACGAATCGGACGATGAGAGCGGCGACGAAGAGGCAGAGGAAGCGATGGATGAGAGCAAAGACATCCAAAGGCCGTTCTCGTTGCTGGTGAGAGCGGCCCAATCGTTGAACCCGAAGCAGTTCCAACTGCCCAACGATATGATGCCATCGATTCCATTGGTGGGCACTTCGAAGAGAGTGAACGGCGGCCGCAATGGCAACAAGAGGCAGATCCACGAAATGGAGAACTCTTTGGTTTCATTTCCCGTCAAATTGTGTAATCAGTGCTCAAAGAGTTGCCGAAAGGCGCCACTCATTCAATGCGATTACTGTACACTCCTTTGGCACGCGGACTGTCTCGACCCTCCCATGACATGTCTGCCCACCGGCCGCTGGATGTGTCCAAACCATTCGCAACCCATTATCGAACAAAAACTGTTAAATTCTGTGAGTTTGAGCGAACGGATCAAACTCTGGGACCACTTCTCGGGTCCCATATCTCAAGACACCGTGAAATTGAATTTCCTGAAGAAAGTGCACCGAAAATATCCTCCGTTTCGGACAAAAGTGTGTTTACCTCCGACTCAGAGAGTGGTAGTGCCCGACGCTATCAAACACATGTACAAAAGACGTCCTCCTCTTCTGCCAAATGTTAATCAATTATCCATTTATGACACAAACCATACGAAGAACGAGTCGTCGAGTGAAGCGGACAATGAATGCCTAAACAGTGATCGTCATTACGAGAGACCAACTCATGAACAACAGGAGGAATGGCTCCAGAGTTTGATCGCATTTCAATCAAGTGCTGCACAATATATGATTGCAAACAAAACTGATTCAAAGAGCAACTCGTGTTTAGCCATCACTTCTGGCAATGAGTTGCCGCCCAAAAGTGGTGACAGTTGTGTGAAATGCAATTCTCAAACTTCAATGAATGGTCCGACAAATCATTCATCCGAAGACATGAATAACTCTCTAAAAAAGGACCAAAAAAGTGATAACAAAGAGATAGCGACGACTCAAATGAATGGCGAGAAGTCGTATTCGTCGCCCATATCTTCTCCCGACAAACGAATCTCAGTTCAAAGCAATTGTTTGAATGCAAACATTGAGACCATAGCCGACATGAATCGTTTGGACGACAATCTGATCCGAATGCTGGCTCTTCAGCGAATTCAACAGTTGAACAATAAAAGTGTTGAAAGTAATCATAACGTCGGCGCCGGTGTTGGCGGCGGTCAACACAACTCCTCGACCACAATGTCATCATTTCATACAACTATTCGTCGCATCGGTTTGAATGACGTGAGGGCTCGAGCCGTGTTGTGTCCCATTCTCATCAAGTCTAGCACCGGCTCTTCAGGCACCGGACCTACAATTGTCATGTCATACCGAACCCTCACTATCGGCACCAGTAGTGAGAGTGATGTAGTGTTAGGCGATTACGGCCACTGCAACTTCGTGTCGCCCAAACACTTGGCCATCTTCTACGACGAGGTCAGTACACACACAGCCCTTTCATTCATACACAAAACAGTCTACTCTTAAGAGTTTAATTTAATACCAAATGATCTCAATTTAGTCTAAATTTCATGTTTAAGTTTCATTTGGTTTTGTTTTTTTAAAGTGAATTTACTATAAAATGAATTACTAATTGAAAAATAACTATTTGTTGCAGACATCGCGAAACTATGAGCTGATAAACTATTCAGAACACGGAACTACTGTCGACAATGTCTTGTATTCGTGCGACTTCTCCGATAAGAGAGTCCACAATCCGAGGCACACAAACTCACAGACCGTTTCGACCGTCAAAGGATAGTAACTAAGTTTTTCCTTTGCTTTTAGGGAAGTTTTGTTGTTTGCCGGCTTCTTAAGTTGAGTTCTCTTTAGGCGACTCTTCAACTCTGGTTTCTTTGCCTTTAGGTAATTTTGTCTTCTCTCACAAGAAAACGCACAAAAGAGCACAGAAATGAAGTCCAATAAAATAGTGTTCAGAAAGGATTGCGACACTGAAAACGTGGAAAGGGTTACCATTCAGACACAGAGCCCACTCATGATGAGCTCCCGCTCCGGACAGAGCCATAGGTCGTGCGCCTGTAAGTCGAGCTGTTCGTCACTCATCGGACCGAACGGCGCCGGTTGGGAGGGAACGGCTCTTCTACACCACGGCTCGCATCTTAAGATCGGTTGTAAAGAATTCATATTCAGTATAACAAACCATGGAATCACTCCATCGACGCCATCGCCAGTCATCAAGAGTCCCATCAAAAGCGAGTCTTCGAGTGGGAAATGATTTCATTTCATTCATACATATAATTTGCTTTTAGTTTTCCTCTTTTATTAATTGCTTTATAATTCTTATGAATTTGAATCCACTTTTTCCTCCTTTGTATTGACGCTTAAAAACACTTAATTAACTGTTTATTAGAGAAGAAATTTTAGCATAAAAAGTGATTCAAATTATTTTTGCCACAAATTAGTCTTTAGTTATTTTATCAATGATTTACAATAAGACAAATTTGTGGTCAAAATTACCACAAAACTCATTCAAATCCTAAAACTATAATAGAGTAATAGTTTTGCAGTATATATACAGTACTATTCAATCAATTGAATCGTTAAGTTTGAATTGATTTTGTCCTCGTTTTCTAACGACTGAAATAAACATTACATTTGAAACATATTTGACGGAAAAACAAAATAAATTGTAAATACTTTACTGTATATCTAATTGTTGTACAAAATGATGAAATAGATGTATATTTATCATCGAAAATCTCCCATAAAATCAATTTCATTTGTTTTTCATTAACAATATTATTGTTTATGATTTAGTAATTTATGTTTTTTTTAATTCAATTTTTACGCTCAATAACAATTCATTTGTCATTTATTTCATTAATTCATTCATTTATAATATAAATAATTAATTCGTTTATATGTTTACTTGTTTTATAATATATGACATTTTATATTTTTCGACAAACTCAAAATCGAATAAAAATCACGACAAAAATAAATATCGTTTTGGTTTTGATGACAAACAAAGCGTATAAAATGTGGTTTTTTACAGAATTTTATGTTTAATTAAATGTATAAAGTGAAGTAAACTTAACTGAAAACAATTGTTGCTTTTTTCCTTAAAAAACTATAATTCAATTGTTTTGAAACTAATTTAAAATAAAAACTTATTACGAGAAAAAAATAAATATTTAATTATTAAAATTAAATACAAATAAGTTTTGCGGAATGTTTTGCGAGAAAACAATTCATAAAATTAATGTATAATTAATATATTGATTGAGTGGTTAAGTACTGATTAACATGCACATTATTATCAAAACAAACAGTTCATATCGTATATAACATGCAATCAAGTGTTCAACGGTTTGGTCGCCGTCTTATTGTCGGCGTTTAGATTGTTCTTCAGCTGATTCTTCTTCAGAGTCTTCAACTGTTTGATTATCTTTGAATGGTTGGCGATTTGGCGCAGGAATACATACACTGCTTCCGGAGTACATCCGCTCCGAAGCAGATTCAGTAGAAGACTAATCCATTCAACAGATAATAAATTAGTAATTATTAGTCAATATTCAGACGAATGTCTCATTTGAAAGACTCATTGCTTACCAGAAGACCTCATAACTGATCTCAATGTTTGTCGTTTGAAGCAATGAATAGAGTTTTACATTATTGGCCAAAATGTCTTCTTTGGTCGACTTGTTGTGGCCATTACTGGCCGATAGTTGTCCGCCGTTTTGCATCTTCGTCTCGACCATCGCTCACCACAATCGGCGACCAATCACTCAATTATCACTCTCTCAGTCCTCCTTAAAACACGAGTTTATTATCACAATAAATGATTTATAAATTTAATTAAAATTAAATTCAATTAAAAATTATGAGCAAAAAATGTGTGAAAAAGCAAAACACAAAATGTTTGTTGATTTGAAGACAAATGCTTTGAATATAATATCAAATATCAATAAATTTAACACAAATGACGTTTGTTATCAAAAAAAGGATAATTATATCTAAGTTTATATTATATCTAATTATAACTAAATTTAATTAATTTATGTATGAATGAAATGAATATACTATTTGAATAAATGCTAAAAACAACAAAAAAGTGCATTATTTCTTCACTTCAGCCATTCTGTTGAGAGCAGAGCCGGCTTTAAACCATCCGATCTGTAGATCATTCAATGTATGCTTCAATTCAATCACGTCTTTCGAGCCGTCCTTATGTTTAATTTCGCATTTGACGGCCTTTTCAGGGATTATAATGTGTTAATACAACACATAATCAAAATACAAAATGTATGATACCTTTGCGGGAGCGATACTCTTCAGATCGAGTAATGATATTCTGTCCGTCGGTTGGATTTTGTCGTAATCTTTAGGGTTAGAGAACGTCAACGGAAGCATTCCCTGCTTTTTTAGATTAGTTTCTAATTACAATCAATTTAAACAAAAACAATAATTAAAATTCAATGTATAAAAATGACTCAATTATAATACCGTGAATTCTGGCAAAACTCTTGACAATAATAGCGCGTCCGCCGAGATGTCTGGGCTCGAGAGCCGCGTGCTCTCGACTGCTGCCCTCACCGTAATTCTCGTCGCCAACGGTAACCCATTTGACACCCTTTGCTTTGTAGGCGCGGGCCGTGTCGGGCACTGCACCCCATTCACCGGTCAATTGATTCTTCACTTTATTCGCCTCATTATTCTCAATATTAATCGCTCTAATTGTTGATAAAATAATTATTAATATTATATATTTCTAACTATCAATTAAAATCATGAAAAACAAACCCAATAAACATATTGTTGGAGATGTTGTCCAAATGACCCCTATATTTAAGCCACGGCCCGGCCATTGAGATGTGATCTGTTGTACACTTGCCCTTCACTTTGATGAGGACAACCATATCTGTTAAGTCCTTTCCATCAAATTTGTCAAACGGGGCCAACAGTTGTAAGCGTTTACTCTTGGGGTCGACGTCCACAGAAATGCCCTTTCCGTCAACGGGTGGCGCCTGATATGTGTCCTGTCCGGGATCGAAGCCACGCGACGGCAACTCGTCACCGGTGGGCGCATCCAGTTTAAACTTCTTGCCGTCAGCGCCGGTCAGTTCGTCTTTGAGAGGATTAAAGTCCAGTCGACCGGCGATCGCGAGTGCGGTCACCAATTCGGGTGAAGTGACAAACGCATGAGTGGCCGGATTGGCGTCATTACGACCCGTGAAGTTGCGGTTATAGGACGAGACGATTGTGTTCTTCTCGCCTTTCTTCACATCCTTACGATCCCATTGGCCAATACAAGGACCGCAAGCGTTGGCCAATACAAGAGCTCCAAATTTGCGCAACTCTTCCGCCTGTCCGTCCCTCTCAATGGTGGCGCGGATTTGCTCCGAACCGGGCGTTACAGTGAATATCGACTTAGACTTTAAGCCGTGTTTCATCGCCTGTTTGGCAATACTGACCGATCTGTTCATGTCTTCGTAGCTGCTGTTAGTGCAGCTGCCGATGAGTCCCACCTTAACATCGATGGGATATCCATTCGCTTTGGCGTTTGCGGCCAATTTGGAGATGGGATGCGCCAAATCGGGAGT